GGAGAAAGTGTCTCCGCAGTTCATGTCTAAAGGCAGCTTAAGAGGGGCGATCAGGAGAGAGAGTGTGCACATGATAAAAAGATATGGCTGAAATGAAAACTAAACATTTAACTGGCGATTGATTTGATATCATTCAGAAAGCAGGCTGATAGCGTGACTGTTCATCAGTCCAACACAATGAGTAGAGCCTCGTCACGCACCTGTCTGCTTTCTGAACGTGATCTCTAATTACAACCATCATTTAGCAGCGGACAAGTCTCCATCATCTCCACGTACACATTGTAATCATCCAACTCCATTCCTGTGTTTTCCAGAGAAAATGAAGGACGTGCTCTCGGGCTTACCTGCGGCAAAGCAGTGTTGAGTTGTCTCTGCAGCGAGTCTCTTTCGTGGCTCACTTCGTGCAGTTTGCCCTGCGTCAAGCCCAGGTTCTCCTGAGACTCCCTCAGAGTCTCAAGAAGACGATCCCGCTCCTCCAGCATGGACACCATCAGCGACTCAAAGTGACCCTCTGAGTCAGACTGCAGCGGGGAGCCGGAGCCCCGTCGGCCGCTGCTGCCGATCCCACCGGGCCCTTCGGCCTCACTGATGGTGGGCATCACCTCGCACATCATCTACAAACATGAGACAAGAATGAGGGGGGGTGGAGAGAGGAACAACACAGAGCTGGGAGCATGGACAGTTTGTGAACTATAACATTTCATTCGTATAACAGACTAACTCTTCCCTTATGAAAGGGAGGTTTCTCTGGCAAATTACATTCACTACAACTGTGAAAACTCTTCACCCCTATGATTTCTTGCACAAGCAGAATGTAATACACACACACTACAGGAGCAAAATGTTTTTTATCACTGACATCTGCAATTTATGCACAATAAACTAAAAAACCCACAGAAATGTAAAAGTCTGAACGTACACTGATTTGACTTGTGCGAGCAAATCTGAATTTGTTTTGGTTGGAAATTCTCCGTTTTCATTCAATCTCCAAAACAAACACTGAAGAATGTGGACGAAAAGATGAAGGAAACAATGAGAACTGTAACCAGTTCATTTAGTGGGGACGATGTCTTGCACATCCTCGTCTCAATGAATTGAAATGTGCAACTCAAACATCGGGGGCTTCATTGTAAATGTTTTTCAATTTGGTTGAACGTTCAGGCTGTAAACTAAAGCAGTCTGCTCCTGACACAGTGGAGTTACAACAGTGGGCAAGTTGAAAAGTTTAAAAGCTGACATTACAGACACAACATCAGCCCACAGAACACCACACCACCTAACCATCATGGAAAGCTCAGTCGCATCAGCTGACCCTGCTCAATGATTGTTGGTAATGGTTGACTACAACTAGAACACAGTAACAGTGTAGTTCAGCTACATGGGAATTGTTTGGAAAAGAAGAGAGAGGGTTAAATAAATCACAGGCAACTAAGACGGCTGTGTGGTGTCTGAGGCCGGAAGGTCGGAGGAATTAGAGCCACCCTGCAGACTGAGGGGTTCAACAAAAAGCCAACAATCATGTGAGCTGGATTTACATACCTACGAGGGACAACAATTTACAAGTTGGACAAGCCAAACCGCCCCCCCCGCCTCCATTCATCTTAGTGTCCTGCATCACCTGAGACACCGAAAGCCATTTGCTTTCAGAAACCACTGTATTTGGTTCAGGGCACCGTCCGGCAACTGTGTTCAGGAGCTGGGCCGTGCTCGTGACACACAAATGAACCATGCCGCGTTTATTTACCTACAACTGCAGAACGCAGGTTTGACAGGTAAACACCGTCACTGGGATTTATAACATACAAAAGCAACGCTCCATATCCAGGTCAAGCCACCGAGCCACTGTGTTTATGAGGGGGAGGGTCACTCAGCATCCAGTGACAGATGGTGGGTCCAGACTTAGTGTGGACATGGCAGACGTCAAAAAGTAAAGATGACAGACAGGAAGAGGATGTGGAGGCAGGACACCTTCACTTTAAAAGACTTCAAACGAGTGAGGGCAACACCACATGTGCCTCTTCTCAAAGTGTAACGTGGATAATTACTGATGACACCTCAGACAGATGAGGCTTCACCTCAATCACACAACTCTGTACCACGGTGGGTCACGTGGAGGAGGAACCGTGACCTTGTGCCCGGTGTTCCTGCGGCTCACCTTGGATGAAGAAGTTCAGGTGTCTCCGTGAGCCACGTTATTCTGCGACGCCGTGCAAACACAGTCCCGGTGATCCGCTGCGTGTCACCGGCCGACCGAGCTTCAACTCACACGTATCGAGTCCCTCAGCGGGTGGAAACTCTCCTCACAGGCGGGGACGACGAGGCTGCGAAGAGGGAACCATTTCCTGAAGGCCTCGCAGCGAACCCCGACATAAAGTGAGCAGGGACCGGGGCAGTACTCCAACTTTGGCCGGCTAACTCCGCCGCGTTAGCAGGCTAGCATGAAGTGCGCTGGCGCTGGGGGGGCGATGATAGCATACCTGGATGTGGAAGTGACGTGTCTGAGTTTGAGCTTTAAAACTTAACACGCGTCCTCAAATGAAAGTTAAAGTGCTCGAGGAGAACACGGCGAGGTGACGTGGAAACAGCTGTAGCCTCGCGAGCTAACCCGGAGCCTCTTGGCTTGAAGTCAGTCTGGGTGTTAGCTACTAGCCCGCTAGTTAGCCGACGCTGTGCTAGTTTTCAGGTTCCTAACTTCGGCCAGACGCGAACCTAAAGACCCGCTGGGTGCGACATGAAAGCGGACAACATGACCGAAGACGTCGCGTCCGTGAATCTCACATGATCCGAAACAGCAAAGGAGCTTTTTCTTTTAAAAACCCCGGAACTCCTCAGCTCCGCTTAATCTCTGCAGCAGCTTTAGCTCGTCGGCTAACGTTAGCTTCCCGTCGCCTCGGCGGAGTCACGTCACCACATCGCGGTGTTGAAAACTTCCGACGTTATCGAGGATTCTGCTCCGCGGACAAAGCTGCGAGCCGCGGCCGAGTATTCCACCGGGTTCCGTCCGGGAGCGGGGGCTCGCTGGGGCTTCTTCCAGCGAAGGGTGGGGGTGGGGGGGTCCGTCGGTCCGGTGCTTCCCGGTCGCCACTGCCAGCCAGCCTCGGCAGTCGGGACAGCCAATGGAGGGCTCCGGGTCTCTAGCGCCTCATGAGCCTGGAGTCTGCGGGAGGAGAGCGAGTCCCGGGCCGGCAACAGGAGGAGGAGGAGGAGGAGGGGAGGCAGCAGCAGCTTCTGAGAGGACCAGAGTTCAAACTGCTCCAATTAATTATTATCTCTAATTACCTTTTTATCCTTCATTCATGAGCCTCAGGTGTCACTCAGCTCATCCACAGCCTCCATACCACTAATGAGCTGGTGCCATTTTCTAAAAATAAAGATATTTATCAGTTATCACCCATTAATCCACATATCTACCATATCCAACACAAATACAAGAAATTCAATCAAAGTATAAATTAATGTATTTTAATTGTATATTGTCCCCTACAACACTGAAATAGAATTGCCATAGAATATAATTGAAAATAAAATTCAACGTTGAAATGACCTCTGAGAGGTTTTCTTACAATCTAATAAAGGAAATGTGTGTGGATGGATCTTTAGTACAGATAATGTAACCCACTGAGAACAGAGACCCTCTCCACTGAATGTCCTGACCTACATTCAGCTGCTGCACATGAAGTTTCTGATTAAAAACAATCCATATTGCTGCACTCACTGTTCATAGAATAGCAGCACCATCTTGTGGTGCTTCAACACTGTAGAATTTCTATTAATGATGCAGAGTCTTCATCCACTTTATGTCTATGGGTCCTAAAAATGCGTGAAAACATTCATCCATTCAAATATCTGCCGGAGATCTAGTAACCGAAGGTCATAGCATATACTAATACTACTACTACTAATAATAAGGATTTATATAGGGCCTTTCAAAACAAAGAGGACAAGTGAAAACAAGAAATCAAAGAAGCAAATCAATACAATAACATTTAAAAAGATATGTAATGAAATCTAAAATCAAAGACAGCAAAAAAAAGACGAAACAAGAAACAATGACGTGAAAAGCATTCAGTATAAGAGATGATGTTTAAACAGACAGCGAAGTTTCACGTGAAGGTAAAATATTTTTGCGGTCTGTGTGACAAAACATCACATTGGCCAATGGTGTGCTGATCTGGAGTCAGTTAGAATTTGGTTTTAAAAATAATTTATTTTGAACTGTAAAAAGAATCTCAGTCCTGAGACAAAACCGCAGACCTGGCAACCCTGATCAAGGACCCCTCCACCTTTGGTCTTCAGTCTTGACCGAGGGGTTTCTGACACGTGCTCAGCAGAAGATTTACACATTTGTGAGGACTGGTTGAGGAGCTCTGCCAAGTGGCCTGGTGGCAAATCCTGCAGTGTTCTGAAGGTCAACAGTGAAACTGTAAAATCACTTCTAAAACAACAGGCAGGCAGAGAAGGGCGGGTGAAATAGGGAAGAGATGATCGTGATTTTGAGATTAGGTTAAGAGTCTGCATTTTGAACACGCTTTGAAGGTGATGGGTTTTATCAGATAACCGACTGATTATGCTTATTGTATAAATATAGTTTTTATTTGAATTGGAAAACAGAAAATAGTATTCAAGTGAAGCACAAGTAGTTAGACCAGAAGTATATTTGAGTGGAAAAGAACTCACAGGAAATTACTCAGTATCAGTATTTGTTGTTTATTTTTAAGCCAAACATTAAAAAATCATCCAGTTTTTCAAAAGTGAAAGCGACATCAACACATCTGCTTTAGACTGTTGATCAAACAAAACTGAGAATTTTTCCATGAATTAAGAAAATAATGGTCAGGTGAAGCGATGATGATGATGATGATGATGATGAAGCTGCAGCCTGAATCACCATGGTGACCACCCTTGGACCATGAAAAAGAGCATCACGTGCTGTTGGTTCATTCCTCCAGGTGACAAACATTTGGATTTGGCAGTTCTCCAGGTGACAAACATTTGGATTTGGCAGTTTGTAAATTTTAGGTAGGTCTTGTGATGACTTTTATCAGGAGGTTACATCTTTAATTCGTTAATGTACATAAACAACTCAGAGCTACAGCAACAGCACTCGACCATCCCACATGAATGACTTACGATTCAACAAACACTTCAGTGTGTGAGACAGAGATACAGTTTATACACAGGAGGTGTTATGAGACACGTGAGAAATGTGTGTTTTGGAGAGTAAAAACACAGATGTCAACCAGAACACTTGTTTTAAATCACATTGTATCACAGCACAAATGGAACAGTTAGAAAACTACATGAGACCCCCCACCTGTTAACACTACACACCTTTCAGATTTGTTCACTATAAAATTTAAATCTTAAAAAAGCTGCAGACATCCACAAGGATGTTGATATGAAGTCTGTCTACATTAGCACATGAAAAGATACATCAACACCAGGCAAAAAACACAAAAAAAGACTTTGTGCAGGTAATGAAAATAAAACAGGTACTTCCACACGCTGCTGATTTAATTCTCAAAAGTTGGCAAAGGTTGGTATTGGACCTTTGACACTCTGGCTCTGTACATGATCATTCCGCAGACCATGCCGACAGCTGCAAGAACACATCCAGCGATGAACACCATGTTCAGATTCAGGTTGGTCACTGAAGAAAAGAAAAACACAAAGTGAGTCGAGCTTTGTCTAAACTCAACCATGGGACTCTGACGAGGCAGGTGTGCTCCATGTGTGTCATACCTGAGGCTCTGGTGCTCTCTGACGATCTCCGTAAGCGCAATGGCCCCTGGGAAACGAAGTGATTTGCACTCTGGATGACAGCCTCTCTCTTCCAGCGTCGGGGGCTTGAAAACGTAGAGTTCATGCATCCTTTTGAACACCTGGTGCCGGAGTTTCCTGCTTCACACATCATGACTGAGCAGCTGATGTACACCTGGACACAACCGGTGATATGTCAGCAGACGTACAGATCTGGAGTCAAACATCTGCTCTAGTTGATCCTCAGTTACTGTGAAAGGTTTTCAAAACTTGTCCAATCAGAAAAATAAAAGATATAGTTCAAGTTTTTTTTGGCTAATTCGCTTTCTTGCTAGATACCTCCACTGTCACAGGCGCTTGTTATCTTAGTTCAGTGTATAGAATGGAAATAGAAGGAAACAGCAAATCTGTCTCTGTCGGTAGATTTACAAGATCGACACTGAAGCATCATCTCTGAACAATCTAAATGCTTTGTTTCACCCTGAACTATTGGTACGAGTGTTCGGCTTCTCTGTCTCCTTTCAATCCTCTAAGTTTTACTAAAAGTTGTATATCATGGATTTTGCATCAGCGTATATGTTTTTTAAATATATATATATATATATATATAAAATGAATGTACATTGTCCCTTTTGAATAAGTAAAAGATGTTATAATCCACTGCTGACCTGATCGTGCAGCCCGATGAACTTGAAGGCCTCCATGCTGAACTTGAATTCTTTCTGGTGAGCGGGGGAGTGGATCTGAACAGTTGGATCAACTTGACACCTTTTCAAAGCAAGAAAAAGGAAAAAACATGGTGAGAGCAGTGCCCCTGCACCTAAATGCCACTGGGGGGAGCATTGGTGACACCAAGACAAGACATATTGGATGGGACATGGACCAAACTAAAAAACTGAGTCAAGTAAATGTTTGTCAAAGATGGTTTCTGTCATTTTACTTCTTATCTCACAGATTTTTCTTCAGTGTTCAAGTTTCTCATCAGTTTGGTTTTAATTAGTTATTTGATTATGTAATAACAGGCTGAGATCATGATTGACAGCTGAGCCTGATTGGCTGAGCTTGTGTATGGGTGGGACCTGGGCAGGTACAGGACGGACATGACAGGGAATCGTTCGCACTGTCGTTCAAAGGCCCAGCTAGCTGCAAATCTTTTTACATATTTTACATCCTTTCTTGAAGTCACCTTTACCCCTGACAACAGACACCTGCCTTCAAACAGTAGAGTGTGTTTTACCCATTTTCAAAGATGGAGTAGGTTTGGTGGTAGTTGGGGTTGTCGTACGGTGAAGCTTGGCAGGACTCCACAAACAGCTCGGTGTTGTTGAGGGAAGAGGTGGCCTCGATCTTCATGTAAATCCTGTCCCCAATTTCGTACACCAGAGGATAGGAGTTTGGATCGATCATGGTTTGGAACAGGTTGTTAGGGTAGAACTCAAACTGGTAGGTGAACGTGCCGAAGCCCTTCTCCCACACCGTGATGCTCTTCCTGTGTACCACAAAGCTTAATGACACGTTTCCTCGTTTTGGGTACCGGCAGTAGAACTGCAACTCCAACTGGTGCTTCCTGGTGATCAGGTCTCTGGGGTTGTCCACCGTGGTGATTTCGTTCTTGAAGATGAGATTGTCATCGTCTTCCTGCAGGACAGAAAGTTAGGAATTCAGTGCTCATGCAGCAACCGACAAACAAGAAGCAGCACTGGTAACTGACAGTGTGTAGAGATGAGATGAAATGAGGCCCTCGTTACCTCGATCTGAGTGCCGCAGGCGTTGAGGGGGATGGTGGCGATGATGTGAGTGCTGTTGGATTGTCTCTGGAGGCTGCAGGCCGTGTTGGAGGGATCACTGAGCTTCAGATGATCCTCATGGAGTTGAGGGAATGAGGCTTTCTCAACCGATACTGTCATTGAGGACTCACTGCAGATCACATGGGATTTAACTGGAACAAGAGAAGGACATTTTAAACCACAACCTTTTCCGTAGTATATATCTAGAGAAATATAATTCATATTCTATGTGATTACTGGTATTTAATTTATATTTCATGTTGATGTATGTTAGCTATTTTTGTTGTCAGGATTACCATGACGACATCAGCCTTATTAATGTTTAGTTCAGCCCTGTGTTTTTCTGCCCTCTGCTGGTCAAAAAGTGCTTAATGCGGCTTTAAGTTGCACAGAAAACATAAACAAAACATAGACTGTAAGTTAAGAGGCCCAAAAGTGAAGCCAAATCATCATGACTGCCCCCTGGTGGCTGGCTCTGGTAGTGGTCATAAACTCTGAATGCAAGCCAAAAGTGCAAGAAGGGACCACAGGAGAAAAAGGAGATGCATCGTCCATCTTCATTTATCATTTTAACCAAAAGGAGTCAATGCAGGGAATCATTCTGACAGTTCAGTGGTGGCTCTGATTCTTGTTTGGAGACTTCTGTGCTTCCACCTGCCTCTTGAAATAGGATCAGCTGGACCAAGGAACCACTTCTTCCGTCCTTTGCTATATCACTACAGTTACACTTCCATTTTCAATGCAGTGGTGTATCCTGGTGACTCACCTATTACATTCCTGATGTCCACCAGAACACACCTCATCTCGGACTGATAGATGGCAGATCTGAAAAATATATGCAAACATATGTGAAAAGTTAAACGATGATTTCCAACGCACATGCTGATTGTGTCATGAGAGGAATTAAGTCAGACTCACGATCGGACTGCTTCAACAGCAAAGCAGATCACGTAATGGTGTCCAAGGTCTCTTTGGATCGGTGTCCACCTGATGACAAACTCTCGACGTGTGTTCCAGTGCTTGGTGATATTCATTGGCCCACTGACGACGATATTGTTTATTCTGCGTGAAAACAGAATATAGTTATCTTGCTTGCTGAGATGTTTTGTTGCCACAAGGCCTCAGCAATCATGTTGGTTTTCACTTACGTTGCGTGTGTGGCCTGCGCTTTGACTGTGATTGCCACTTCCTTGTTGACCTCTGCTTGGAAACGCTCTCCATTTACAGGTGTTGGGGGCAGAAACTTGGGCAGGAAAACTCCCTCCTGACAAGACGGAACAGGGGGGTCCACTGGAATTTAAAAAATGTCAAAGTGTGATAAGTATTGAACAGTTATTAGCAAAGTGCTACGGAGTCTTTTGTTAGTTGTAAAAGTAAAAAAAAACAACTTAGTAAAAACCAAGTATCTCCAAAAACCTATGATTGCTATGTTGAAAGAATATCTCCTAAGGCTAAATAGTCATTTTTAAACTTTTCATGAAGTGAAAAACATTTAGTTCGAAAGCCAAAAATACAAGAGTTTTGGGATATATGTGATTTTTTACAATGTAAAAGTAAAAAAATACATGACAAAATAACAAAGACACAAATCATGGGGGGTGTTACAGTACGAGCACATTTTAAAGTTTGATTCAAATGAAGCTACTGACTCTCTGCTGTATTTCCTCAGACAGGATGTTCCAGAACTTCAGGGCTCTTTTCTAAACCTGTGTTCCCTGAAGACCTCAACCGAGAATCTGGAACAGTTTAAGGATTCTGCCAGAGGCTTTCAAAGTACATGCAGGGTTGTTTGAGTATAAAAGATCCACAAAAACTGAGGAGTCAGACCATTAAGAACCTTATAAGTAATTGAAGACAAAATATTCTATTAAGTACAGGAAGCCATGATCTCAGTATTTCTTTTAAATTGGCTGTGGTTTTATCTCACTGAGCGTAGAGCAGCAGCGACAGGACCTCTGCTTGGTGGGACTTAAAAAGAATTGGCTCATTAAATAAATTGTCATGTGCCAGGAAACGTAAAAACATACTTACCAAGCAAAGAGAATTGCAGAGGAAGTTTGCTGAGAGGAGCAGTGGTTGTGGCCGTGGTTGTGGTTTGG